TTTAATAAAATTGATTTGGCTTATGATTGGATAAAAAACTCTACGAGGCAAAAGTATCAGTTTCCTTGTTAGTTTCTATTTTGGTAGGAATTTTATATCTTAGTTTTCAATAATATAGTTGACCACTTTGAAGTGTAAATTTTTTTTTTTTTTTTTTTTTTTTTTTTTTTTTTTTTAGTATACTTGCAAAAAATTATTACCATTGAAGAAGATTTATGTTCATTTAAAAATATTGCAAGAGGGATGTGGATTATAATTAATATTTGTATTTCTATCACGGATACTCTTTTTAGTCCTGCTTTGATAAATTTGAAAACTTCAATAAAGGCAAGAGTTGTTTATGCCATTTTCATTGTTGACCAGAGATAACTGTATACATTTCAAAGGAATACAGTGTTTTTAGTTTAAGAATGCAGAGAAATCCTTGCAAAAGTCTATTTACTATTTTTACTTCCTTGTACTAAGTAAAAAGGGAGTATTGTAATCACGAAAACTTTGGGGTATCATATTTCAAAAGTTATATCCATTTTGACCGTTCCCGAAGCAATTCGGACGATATTTTTGCTTAACGTATGTACGTACGGACAGAATAAAGGACTCTTCCTCTTCCAAAAAGATTGTAAAATGGATTTAAAAGGGATATTTTTGTGATGACTGTAAGTACGTAAGTATGTATCTCACATAACGCAAAAACTATAAATCGCAGAACGGTGAAATTTTGTACACGGAACTGCTTAGTAGATTATTAAATAGTTTATCTACTTTGGAAATAAAGTACTTAAGGTATCTGCCTACGTTAAAAAAACGATTTCGGCGAAAAAAGTCGATTTTTTTAATTGCCCAATTTGGACGGTCAGTTTGTAGGATTCCGAAAATGGTTCATTTTTACGTTTGTGATAATTAGAAGAGAAGATATAGCCAATTAACTGCACTGGAAGTGAAAGCAGAAAGACCGGAAGTGCCATTTAAAAGGCTCAACTTAAAGGTAAACAATATTGTTATCCGTGTTTTTTCTTACCTGTTTGTGTGTAAAATTGTGCTAAAACACTTCATTTTAATTCTGGGTACTTATTTTTGTTTCTGGCATTAATTATTTGCCTTAATTTTTTTAACTAGGACTGGCAACATTGCGGTTTTTTTAACTTGGTCTGGCAACATTGCGATTAGGTATAAAGACTATATTGCTGGGTGCATATATAGTAGTTTTAATTTTTATTTCAGGGTATCTTGGATTACTTCCTGTCTTTGAACATTTAGGCATATCAATTGAACAAGAAATGATTAAAATTACTTTGAAATTGATAACGAAAGAATAAAGAACTCGAAACTTCATTCGTCGCTCATTTCGAAAATAGCCAGAAAAAAAAATTAAAATCAAATAGGAAATCAAAATTACTTAAGTATAAAGATATGGAGGGCGTGATGTACAAATGTGGACAATTTTAAGTGTGTAAATACAACAGAACAGTTTTTCTGTTAATGTGAAATCTTTAAATGCGTTTTCTGGAAAACTAATTTTTCTCTAGTGTTTTTACATATAAGAAATGTAATTACTCAAAAAGTTCTAAAGGTATCTCTATTAAATTTCACTATAGTGTTTTCTATATTATTTACTAGGTTTTAAGCTTCAATCTAAGTTCTATTTAATTATTTGATTGTTTTATAAGCATTTCTATATAAAACGATAACAAATATTTTACAAAAAACTGTGTTTTTTCATGTAATTATACATATTTTAGTAAATTTTAGAAATATCATAAACATTTTAGTTCATAACACAGATGAGTGTTGTAGTAGTATACAGTATAAATAAAATTGAAATATATGCTGTAGGAAAAAATATACGACATTTAACGTAAGTGTTAAATTCTCCTAAAAATTTGCATAAAATTGCATATATTTAAAAAAATTATGAAAATATTTCTAAAAATTTACCTACTTTCATGATTTGATATCCTATTTTGACTAAATAAATATATATTTCATCAGAATTCTATGTTTTTAAAAAAAAGTGCTCCGACCGTAGGCAGATACGCAGGCGTAGGTATTGAAATGAATTTACACGTTAACATGTATTAAAATGGAATAATTAAAAGCGAAAGTGTAACCAACAAACTAAGTAATTATCTTCATTGACCGGAAATCTGTTCACTTTTAAAGGGGAACAAACTAACTTCCGATCAATTAACAGTAATTAATAGGTGAAAAAGTTTTCCTCAAGCAAGAACCAAAACTAAAAAAGACTGAGTTTAAATTATTCAAACTGATAATTAGAAAGCAGTGATATATATATGTGAGATAAACAATATGAAAGCAAACTTTTAATTTTAATTGGTTCTAACCTCTTTTAGTTTTATTTAATTTGGATAGAAATAGCGTCATAAGTCTAAACTGTGTTATTCAAAGTAATCGTGCGATCTTACGTATCGCTTAAAGCAGATGTCTCTTGCCCAATCAAAATAATTGAAAACCAAAACTAACTCGAACTAAAACGTTTCGACTCCCTCCTTTCTTCCTCTGCATTACTACTGCCACATTCTTCCCTTTTTTCGCTTGTGCCTTCATTGTGACCAGACACTTTGCTGCAATCATCTATGAGCTGCAATGATCGCTTGCATCACAAGAGTATCAAAATTGTTCTGTGAACAGGCACGACCAGAGTGCCAAGCGATTGTGGCTACAAATGTCAACTGGAAATAAAAATGGAAATAAAACTGCCTCGACTGCCAAGTTTCTTAGATATTACGAACCTAACATATTAGCCTACGACGCAATCAGAATTCTTCCTCTTCAATATGCCATCTACGTGCTCCGACATCAGTACTTTCTGCGTTTCTAACTCACAATGTTCCCACATTAGTACTTCTAAATTTTGCGTTTATTACATATATATATATATATATATATATATATAGACAAAAAGTAAGAAATTTAGAATCAGTTCTACACAAAACCCAAAATAAGTCAAATTCAATACCAGTAAGTTTATATAAAGCAAGTATTTAAAATCAGAAAGGGGGTATATATATATATGTATATATATATATATATATATATATACTATATGTGTGTGTGTCCTTGGACGGCCTTTATTTCGCAATAGTTTGTCATAGTCTTATACTTCCAATTAAAACAATGTTTTAAATAATGAAAGGGAATGGGATATTTAATTTAAAAATTTGAACTTTTTTATGTCATTTTCAATTTGCCTTGAGGGACTGGTTAACTGAGTAAGAATAATTCGAGGAAACATGTTTAAATTGTAAAGACCTTATTTTATTCTAACCAATTATTTTCAGTTTACGTTTCTTTTCTCGCCTCATTTCAGTTTCCTGCCGAAATGTAAATTTTAATGACGAAGTATGCAAAATCTAAGTATGTTCAGAAGTAGTATTTAAGTTGCGGTTTCAAGAGTTCGAGAGGAGTAGTAGTGGATTTAGTTCTGAGTTTATGCTTGCATATTTGAAACAGCTGTCCTATTTGGTGTTAGCCACCCTCTTCAGGCAATATTGATATTCTAGGCTCGACTTTGCTGTGTGCAACCGATTTAGCGGTTTAGATAAATAAGGAGCCAGTCGTTTAGCCATCCTAATTTATTGTGATTTTACATTTTTATTTTCTACATTTTATTTCAAACGTGGTGGTGAATTGTGAGCACCGGGTAAATGTATCTTGTTACGTTAGTTCAAATAAAAGGGTTATTTAAATCTTCTGTAGTATCTGTTTTTCAAAGACATAGCGAGAATTCACTGCGCAGTCTTTTCAAGCAGGGTCTACTGTGAATGCTTCTGAAAAAAAAAAGGTAGACCCCACAAAATGAAGTGCGGTAAAGATGCAGAGGCATTTAAATGACGAAAATTGGCAATGTCACATTAAAATAATTAATTTTGAACAAGTAACGAAATCTAATTTTTGATGCCGTCTCCTAGTTCTTATAGTTATAGTTGGGGAAAAAATAATTTTTGCAATTTTTTTGTCATTTTCATCTTGCCTTCAGAGATCGTTTAATTAAGTTAGAATAATTGGAGGAAATAGGTTTAAATGAAGTGCAGCAAACATTTGTATAATTTAGTAATCTAACGAGGAGTCATGAGGTGTCCACATCAGATTGTTTTGAGTGACAATGCTCGAAATTTCGCTGTTATTATTCTCAAAGTTGTGGCATTTAAATGTTCGACTTCTGCTGTCTTGTAAATTTTGAAATTTTTAGAGTTGAAAATTTTTATATTTTTTAATTAGTGTCCTATGATTATTAGTTTTAAGGGTAAGGTGTTTCAAGTTTGTTCAATAAAGGTAGTTGCAATATGTTTCATTTAATTTAGCTACTTACACTTCTTACCTAAAATATTATAATATATTTAGAATTAATCATGTTTAAACCAGTACTTTTGATAGCAAATGATATTAGAACAATAACACTATGCAACTCTAAAGAGTTATAAATCAGGTTTCTTAGTTTTTGATTCCATCTTAGCTTGCTCTTATAACGCCGACTGTCCTTAAGTCAAGTTGTGTTACGTATGCTGAGTAAATATGCTTATTATACTAACATTATATTTATTACAGTGAAAATAATGATCTCTCTACTGCATGTTATTAGAAAGAGTCTCCTTCATCTACGTCACATAAAAGAATATTACATGCATAGATACAATTTAGATTTCCTCTGATAATTTGCTTATGCTACGATGTGTCGACTTACCGAGATTTTATTATTGCTATGTATTTAAAAAATCTGACAAACTTTTCAAGCACCTACTAGCATTTCAGAATCATCATTTGAATTCACCGGTCATTCCATCCTACAACTAAGCTTATTTAAGAAATGCACATTGAAACTTGAAGCAAACAAAAAGTACTTCACGATTAAATCATTCCAACTGCAGAATAACGGAGTCTGGGATGCGCAAAGGTGCAGGTGGCAGCGAAAAGTAGTGCCAATTTCTGACTCATCAACAAACAACCTCTTTCCCTACCTATTCCTGTTTCACTAGCTCTCTCTCGCACTCTTACAATGGAAAAGGAGGGATGCCACGTGACCTTGCAGCGGCATGCTGATCTTCTTTTACTGATTCTGCTTTTTGTTTTCTTTTTTGAAGCTGCAGAGACTCTCGAAGCATTCCTTTTCTTTGGCTGCTTGCTCCGTTAAGTTCTGGTTTCGTTGTGTTGCAAGAGTAGTTAACTTCCTCGGTTGAGTTTTCAGTGAATATTTCGTTGGTAAGTGGGTGTCACTTTTTATTATGGTTTTTAGTCTAAAACTGGAAGTTTTTGTTTATTAGTTCGAACTTAGAATTATGTTTCAAACGCATTTTTTATATTTCTGGACTTGAAATCACGCTAAGAGAATGTTATAAGAATTTAAATTAATAGCTGAAATCCTGGGATAATTTCCACAGAAATTCTTCATTTTGTATGATGTATAATGTATGTAATTTGTCTTGTAGTTTATGCTTAATTTTTTGTGGCTTCTATCAAAGTTCTTGGATAAAGATTCTGAAGGTTTTATACCGTATATAAATTTCTATGTATATAATAAAACCTGAAGTTTTACCAAGAGAAACTGGAAGTTTTACAGAAAAAAAAGTGATATATGCATTTGTTAAACAGGCATTGCCGGGTTCCCTTGACATGCAATTCTTTACTAAGAAGAACAATTGGACGAACATCAGAACTATACTATCAGTAAGCAGTAAAGAATTTAAATAATGTTTCTAAAAGAATGTAAATAAATTTGCCGATGATAAAAACTAAATTGACCCATTTTTGATTTTCTGAATTTAAATCTTAAAAAACAAGATGTTTCAATATTAAAAAAATAAAATAATTATATTCAGGAAGGAAAATAAAGTGTCTAAAATAATATAAGCTATGGTTTGAGCACAGAAAAAAAATAAATATCCAAAATCTAAAAATGGGGGTAAATTATCTTACAGGGAAAATATTATTATAATAATGCAAGTCTGATAACTTTATGATGTTTCTTCTATCTTTATTGCTGTACTGTTTAAAATTGTGAGATTTGATAGTCGAGTTGGGCAATAGTGAGCCTTTTTTCCGTAACGCAGCACATATGCATATATGAACACTTTTGTAAACTCAAAACCAATAAATAAGAAAAGAAAAATAATAAAATAAAAATAAATAAATAAGCTACATCTTTATTACATTTCAAACTTTTTTAACACACTTTTGAAAAGCTTACTTACGCATCTTCAGGTCAAAAAGAGGCGTACTTTTTTATAACAATGGCGTGAGGCAACTGAATGTACATTTATTAAAAAAAAGTCTAAGCATTAAATTTACGCATAGCCTGTTTTCATTTTTAATTAAACCGAAAAGTGCTTTTAATACAGCCTAACTAATATCGATCAGCATCTTTGCAAAATTACTTTTCTACCTGTACCACTTTCTTTGCGTATATTATCAGACAAAAACTTTTCTGCTACAAAAATAAAATATACTAATTGGATTCATGCAAATAATAAGCATGGCAATTCTTCAGTCTTCATCTGTGTCTTCTCTAGTCTTTGTACATTATGAAGCCATTATTAACCTTGGTTTATAGTAATTCTGGATTAAAACGATAAAAGCAAAAAATTTTAACATTTTTTCATGTTATTTTTGTTAATATTTCCTCCGAATGTAAATTTTAATTTTTCAATTATAAATTGACTGAAATCCTGCTGATCAGAGAAGATGAATATTATCTGAAAATAGCCATTATTTCTTAGACTATAAACAAACATTAAAACTGGACATCATCTATTTGAGAAAATCTCTTCCAGCCAGTTAATCTCCACTTGTACCGCTGAATACTATTTCGAATCAAGTTCGGCGAAATGGCTGCCCTCCGACTGGCTTTTTCCGGCAAAATGGCTGACTGAAGTAGTTGATCTTCGGAACTTTCCCATGTGGTAACACGAATGCGAGAAAGTTTTCCTTACGAAGTTCGCCACGAAGATACCCCTAACCTTAGGCAGATAGCACTCATTTGTTTTGTCATAGTCAAATAACCTAACCTAATCGAAGCCTCCAGCGAATAACAAAACCGTCTGCAACGGGTGTGGCCTTTTCACTGAGGTTTCTTTTGTAGTTTAAAGCAAAATTGCAGGAAGGTTTACTGAAATTTGTTAAAGAGAATATTGGAAGTTGTAAAAGTGTCATCGAATACTTTCTGCAACCATTTAAATATTAGTTTTTTTTTTCTTTAATTTTTTTATTTTCTCATTCTCGATAAAGCAACATTCTTTGGCCACTTTAAAGTATAAAAAATAATCCAAATAATTTTTAATGTTTCTTCTCAGTCACGATTCGATTTGTCTCAATACTATTACTGAAGACTGAGAATCATTTCTCGAAGGCAAGGATTAAATATTCATTCTCAGAGGGCATGGAAGGGATTATTCTACATAAAGTGAATGTGAGACATCATCATTATAAATTATAAATTATATGTGTTAGATTGGATATGATTTAGATCTTTACGATGTAATTCATTTTATTTTAACTAAGGCATTTTTCCTTTTGTTAAAAATCTACCCTACACTTTTGCCTGTCTCCACCAGAATATGTAAATAAGAGGACTTTTAAATCGAATTATAGTTTAAATAAAGAAGAGGAATTGGATATTTAAATACGTTTTGCACAACCCAATTAAGAACTTTTAAATGTTTAGCAGAGCAAGAAACTTTTGTAAATTTTACGTTCAAACCTACTTCAGTTGAAATGTAATTGTAATAAAAGATTCTTTATTTATTATTAATATAAAATGTGCAAAATATTTACATATATTTTAACAAGTAAAATATTTTATATATATCTTTAAGAGGTGTTATTAATTCAGTCTGTGATAAAATTTTATCCCTCATAAAGCAACACTGTTGCCAATCCCAGTGCATAAAGTCTTCTATTTATCTTCGATTTCATTTATTTTTAATTCCATTTATCTTTAATATGCATAAGAACTTTAATTTATTGTCGGTCTTCTTATTATCTTATGATATTTTAGCAAGCAAAATATTTATTTGTATCTTTAAAAAGAGTTATTAATTCAATCTGCGACAAAATGCTATCCCTCATAAAGCAACATTGTTGCCATCCCGATGCATAAGGTATTCCGTTTATCTTCTTTATTCCATTTTATCTCCAATTCCATTTATCTTCGATATTCTGTCTCCCATTTATCCCTTAAACATCGAACTGTTGCCACTCGCGATGTATAAGGGCTTCCATTTATCTTTGATTCTGTTTATCTTCAATATGCATAAAGTCTTCCATTTATCTTCGATATCGGTTCTTCGAAGATATATGATGTACCAGCTTTTGTCAGGAATAAATACATTGTTGAAGAATCATAAATGTAGTCGTAGCTTAAATTATCAGACGATAAGTTTTAAAAAACAGGATCCATTTATTATTGGTCAGGAGAAATAGCAGTTACAAAATCATATATCCGGAGTAAATAAAAAGAATTACTAATAACTTTTTGTATGAAGTTTACTGCATCGTTACATTAAAGAAAAGGCCCCGGTATTCTTTTGCGAGTCCTTTTATAGCCTCTGAAAGGCGGAGCTTCCAAGAAATGACATCAGCTCGTCAGACCATTCTGGTTTCGCTTTAAATACTTCCAGAACATTCTATAACTGTACGTTAGAAAGGCGTGAAAAACAAACTTGACTACGAGGCTGGATTTAATTCCACGTACTTTCAAATAAGAGAACGTCGTCATTTAAAAATGAAAAGAACATGCAGTTAGAATTTTAAGTGTAATTTGACTATGGAATTTTATTATTACATATATATAGTATATATATCTTCGAATATTATTTTCGATAAGTCAGTTCTTCAATGTAACATAAGTTTATTGCTGTAAAAAGTGTTTCATCTGGAATTTTTAACATTTGGCATCAGATGTTATTTTATATCGCAAATGTCATAAATAAAACTTGAAAGGAATTCAAATTCGTTTTCAGATGTTTTTTAATTCTTAAGGGGTATCAGAAACCCCTATACCGACAATGTTAAATTGGCCATTTTCGATGTACCTTTTCTCAAAATCTGCTGTAGATACAAGCTTGAATTTTTTTCTGTAATTAAAGTATACCTATCTGATTATACGGAAATGAGCTTTTGAAACATTTTGAATTTAAGAGTAAATTACAGAATATTTTGTTAGGCATAGTAAAATTTAGCACTTTTCTCACACACACACACACACAAAAAAAAAATATAAATAAATAAAAAATTGTTTTTCTAAGTTTATTACAAAAAGCTCATTTCAATAAATATTAGGGAACTTAATAAATAAGCCATAAAAAGTTTAGATACCTGTGAGCAGTAGTTCCTGCGAAAAGGTACATCGAGCATCCCGTTTGGCGAAAAACGCGTTTTTATGTAAAAATCCTCATTGATCAAAGCAGTAGATGATAAATTAAAACTAGATTTTTTTACAGTTCTAATTTTCATAGAGATTAAGGAATGGTACTTTAAGAAAGATAAAAGTGTAGAGAATTTGAAAATGCAAAAATCCGAAATCACAATTTTTTGGAGATTTTGGGGTTCCAACACCCCTTAAACTTACCATACGTCTTTCACTGCCACGTTTTATTGTCTGTTACAAATGCTTGAGGTTTAGCGTTTGAGTCTTCCTTCACTGGACATTATCATTAAGCAATCATCTGAGGCAAAAATATTCAATTTGCTCTCATTTTTAGCTGTCACAGCATGATAAAGATATATTTATCATTGATTCTGACAATTAGAACCTTTTATTTTCCGCGAAAAACTTTCACTTTCTTACTGATATCTGGCTAATGAAACAATTCTTTTGACATCAATTTCTATAAATTGTTAAGTATATGAAATTCTTCTGCTCTAAAGCAAGACTCGGTGGCCCTCTTTTACTAAGAATTCTCTTTTCTACTTTGCAATACTTCATAACACTGGAACCAGTGGAATGCAGGAGATTCATTGTTTAAACCACTTCTTTCACAGAGTTACCATTCTTTAAACGACAATACCACCAACAACAACTAGAAAACGAAAGGTATAAACAGGAAAAGTTCCGGTTGATGTGAAACTTCTGTGTTGTGAATACAAGTGTAAGAAGTTATAAAAGCACGAATTATAAACTATAATCAATGAAAGATAATTTTTACTCATGAAAAAATAAATCCTTTTAGTTTGTTTCTATATCTTCAGAGTTACAAAATTATATA